TGTGTGTGTGTGTGTGTGTGTGTGTGTATGTGTGTGTGTGTTTTGTTTATTTTCCAAGTGCGATAGCTGACAATATTTTTTAATTGTCACACCTGACACAATCAAATTTATCGACGACTACCTGATCAAGATTTGATTAAAGTCAGAGGTTTAAATAGCGCCCCCTTACGGTACAATTTATTCAGCAGAAACTGAACAGCCTGCGCCAAATGCAAAATCCTATTTTTAAAAGTTCATCTTATAAGTTTGGGAAAAGGGGGTCAAGGAGTAGGGCATATAGACGGAGGGTCAGTCTTTAACTTTTGTTTAACTCCTCTGTCTACAGTTGTTCTTATAGAAGAGGTATAAATTAACATTTATGGGTGAAAACATATTTTGGACGCTTTGGTAAAATATAAACCAAAAGAGGGCGCTACTGTTCAATGTCACCTTTCTTTAGTGTTGGGTTTTCCAAGTAGCTAAATAGCTACTATATATGTAGGGGCATGGAGCTCATTGGTTTTTCTATTCAGGTAATACACTGTTGTATCTGTACGTGTAACCTTACTATTCAGAACAAACCCCATTAACATTGGCATTAAGGAGACAGGCATACGACACATTCAAATATTTTCCCGTGACACGTCCCATTTAGTCTCATTTCACATGAAGCCTATATAAACACCTGATAGACCAGGTTATGTTTTCAAGACTTTACGTACCAGTACATATAGGTTATCATGTAGCCGTGTTATATATAGAGCTCTGTATTTACATACAAAGCGGCGACCCAGTTCAAGCTGTCAAATATAAACAAACCGCATTTTGCGGGACACGGCAAACAGAGTAGCTAACAGACGGGGCCTGCGAGGGAAACCCGCGCTCGACGTACCAAAACACTCCGTGGATGGATTCTCGCTGATAAATATTTCGTGGAAATGAGGTGTTGTTCATCGCCTCTCTCCCTTTCAATTAATTTAAAAAAATGAAATTCGAAAAAATTATATTTTGATTCGATTTTTAAGTCATTATTTATTCACATTAATAATTGACAGTTAATAATATACTTCTGAGATTTTATTTTTAATAATTAACAAAATATAATTAATAATTGACAGTTAATTATATACCTCTGAGTCTTTCTTTTTAATAATTAACAAAACTAAGTAATAATTAATTTTTCAAAACACGTGCCCGATGCTTTTAGTATTTTCCATTACTACAGTATTATCTCTGTTAAATCAAAGTTATTAGATAACACCTAAATAATTGATTAGGGTAACACCTAAATAATAATAATAAGAAGAAGAAGAAAAATTCGAGTTTTCATTATCATCACCATCATCATCATCATCATCATCAGTAGTAGTAGTAGTAGTTAAAGCATGATACGGTATAAAAATGTATCGTACGTTAGTGTGGTATTGTGTTCTGAAAATTCTCCGTTATACACAAAGCTTTCAGGCCATGCGTGCTGAAAGGGGGAAAAAAGAGATTTTCAGCATTTAGAGGGTTTCCCTTCTCTTTACCTGTTGACCTTGTGTAGCTTGAACGCTGAGTCATGCAGAAAAGTATTTCTTTTTTTTTCGATGAGAGATCACAAACCAGACCTCTCTTCTTCCCAGAACAATATTGTACGGTAAACCCAAATATCAAGCGTCATAAACCCAAGCCCAAAAGTAGGATGAAAAGTAGGTTTTGACGTTACTGAAACATCTGTTGGGCATCTGTTAAAAAAGAAGAAAAAATAGGAAAAAGTGCATGAATCATCCAAGCGCCCTCGAGATGCCATGGTAAAAATAATAATAGTCTTGCACCCATTAATACTACTAATGTGTACATGTAGTTTATAATGGATCCAAGTGACAGTGTAGATTAACGAACCGCATCGGATGATTAAGATCCCTGCTTACTCAAGACAGGGGGACAACTAATATAAAACACGCGCCTTTTGTTTCAACTGAAAACTTATGTTTTGAAACTCACTCTTTGTCGTAGTTCCAAAAGCGCCTCCTAAGTGGTTTCTAAGGGCTAGTCTGGCTAAAATTGCCCTGCAGTTTGTTTACTATAGCTTACACATGAATTTATGATAAACGTAAGAGATAAAAAGTTAATATTGTGAAATCTTGGACTTGAAGTGCTGATTCTCGCAGAGGTGCGAAGGAACTTTATTGGAGCGAGAACCGCAAGAAACAGTTTGATGTTGATTCTGAACCACGTGCTTCTTCAACAAGGAAACTGCTGAAGTATCTACATGTACTAGGATAGTGTGATGAATAATTAACCTCTGGGCCTAGACAGCATAGGATGTGCAAAAGGAGGACCAAACTAAACCACACGCATACCTGAGGTAAAATCAGGAAAATAACAAATTGCAACCAGGTCGCGTTTCACGGCCCAGAGAAGCCTACCCCCCCAGTTTACACCCTACGTATAGTTTGGAAATCCCAGCCTCTTCTCAGAAGGAAGTGAATACGACGAACGCTTTTGTTTGGACGGACCAAGCGCGACAAAGTTGCTTGAATGTGAAAGAAAAACATCCACGCATGGCACGTACTGATGCTGGCATAGGTTCTGAATACAGAGCTTGGTGTGGATATTAGCCCGGGGAAACTGTCGTTTAGTGTGTGCCACTTGTAAATACAACTGAACTCAGATAAGTGGCCGGAAACTCCAGAAACTTGGTGACTAATATCTGACCGCAACGTCCAGGACCCTTACCAGATTAAGGGATGATTAAGGGATAAGGGATATTGGAGTTATTTCACCTGGCCGAGGTGTTTGTAACGAACGTTAACAGGCATTGCATACTGGGTCCGATCTGTTACTTAGCATAGGACCGTCTCGACAGTATAGTGAGGTGCTTTAAAAGCGCGTCTGTCCAATAAAACGCAGGGTTTAGCCTGGTTAATCAGACCAAATCGTGCCGAAGCCAAATGTTATACCTGCAGACAAATTCAGCGGACAGTTGAAAAAAAGAAAGAAAGAAAACTATAATATTTCATCAGCAGACATGTCACACAGACAGCTCCCCCCGGGCCCCTGGACGCACTGCCGTGCCCCACCCATGCCGATGATTATCGACGCCGAAGACTCTGGATCCTCCGTGGGGATGATACCCCAAGCATGCATGGTTTTCCGTTCATTGCCACCAACCCCTGAACACAGCGTCCGTGCCGGCAGCGCCGCTCCTAGGGGAGCCTCCACAGACAGCGAGTCCAGCGTCACTGACGGGGCTTACGACGTCATTTACCCCCCGGGGGCGGGGCTTGGAGGGGGTGGACCCCGGGGCGTAGGCGAACCACCCCAAGGGGCGGGTCCCCCCTTGTTTATACCGCGAAACGATTCACAGTTCACAGTTACTAGTGGCCGGTCTCTCTTATCGGACCCTGGGGAGTATAACGTGAGTCACCTCGAAAAACTTAGATACGAACACATATGCATATGCCGCCGAACATTTGTTTTGATTTTTGTGTGTATATACACCTTTCTCTTACTTTCGACCAGCGCTTTCTGCTTGTGGTTTTACTTGAACTACACCAGTGAACGAATGGACAATATGAGCAGCATACAAAGACTGAAACAAAATAACAGTCCACCAACGGTGTGCGTGCCTTGCCAAAAACTTGCCCGGGAGACCAAAGCTGATATCTCGCTATTAAAAACTTATACGGATCGAAATGTATGCAAAGTTCGCACGGATCTAGCCAAACCGCTGGTCCTGAACCTTGAGGGGAGTATCTGCACCAGCAACGCATCTGAAATCACGGAATTGATGAAGTCGGTGAGTTTTCTTTTTTATTAACGTATAATAATTGCTGTTGAGCATTAACCTGGTGTATGATTCATTCATTCTACTTATTGTCTTAGTTAATATATATAACGACTGATAGTTTGTTGAGGATATGATTTCAGCTAAGATAAGTGCAAATTGGTGGACATAACACACAATAGGTGTACCTGATCAGGCCCGTAGCCAGCAATTTCAGAGGGGGGGGGGTCGTTTTCTGAAAAAGTGTACCTTTTACGATAAAATCCTCAAGTACGTAGATCAAATTTTACCCAGAGTGGACCTTTTCCCAGCAAAAAGTGTGGTACTTTCGAACCCCCCCTCCCCGAACCCCCCTCCCCCCTGGCTACTTACCTGCTGATGTAGAATAAAATGTTAAGTAATACTAAAGTAATCCTTCTGTTTGTTATGTTAATACAGGTGAAGATGGCTACATGTCATGCTAAACGCGATTTATGGGTCTTTTTTAAGTTATTGCATATACTTGGACATATATATCATTAATCACGAGAAAGAGAGTGGGGGGTCGGGCATATATGTGTGTGTGTGTGTGAGAGAGAGAGAGAGAGAGAGAGAGAAAGAGAGAGAGAGAGAGGATAAGAACAGGAAAGAAAGATGGAAAGAAAATAACTTCTCGTCTTTACCAATTTTATGAGTGAAATTAAAATACAACTTCACAGTCATTTTTCAGATGCGCGCAATTTTTTAATCCAACTTTTAAATTAAGTTGTTTTTTTTTTTGTCCGCCAACAGGTAGCTATCATCTTATCCGACTGTCCCGTGTACTCATGGCGTATTTTTAGTACCAAGAAAACATTACAGATATAGATATATATAAATAGTTAAATATCTTATCGGAATTTCCCAACCTGCATGTACAGGTAGCTGCTGTTTAGTGTTTGAAAGCTAAAGCTTACTAAGTAAGAATGGACGCCCACATAATAGTCTCATTAAATAGAAACCAACCAAGGCAATTCAGGAAGTAAAGGATTTTTATTTCAAGTAGAAAGCTGTTGAATACCTACTGAATACAGATGTACTGTCGTGGAGGGGAGTGAAGCATGCCAAGAAGAAGAAATGATATTTAAGATTCTCCGAAGTCATATAATAGGCCTTGAATGACGTTCTCCAATTAAATTCTCCCCTCAATTAAAAAAGTTGAATTATAATGAGAAATAAATGAGTAAGAGTAAAAAAAAATAAATGATAAATTTCTTAAATGCATCACCTCTAGATCCCACATTCCCACAGTGACTCTAATACACAATGTATTCAGTGTATGCTAAAATTAACCTACTTTATATATCAGGCCCGTAGCCAGGGGGGTTCGAAAGAACCACCCCTTTTGCTGGGAAAAGGTGCACTCTGGGTTAAATTTGATCTAGGTTCATGAAGTTTTTATGGAAAAAGGTCCACTTTTTCAGAAAAAGAACCCCCCTTTTGAAATTACTGGCTACAGGCCTGTATATATATATATATATATATATATATATATATATATATATATATATATATATATATATATATAGCCATTACTAGGCATCGACAATCGACATAAAAAGGAAAAAAGTATCCCCAAAGAAGTAAGAAGAAAACATGGAAACGGAGAAAAAAGAATGAAGAAAGGAAAAACGAATGTAGTGGAATAATAATAATAAATGGAGAGTTGATTGAGTGAGCGGGAAAGGGGATCGTTAATTACCATCATAATTCATATCTGCGGTTCACAGATTTACACATTATGAAACTGCGGTTTTCTTATTCAGGTGGTCATGTCAGAGTTCGGTCGTGACTTTCATCACAAACAGAACGACATGGAAGAAAAAATCACTACAATCCAAGGTAAGATCCGGCACACACTGAACCTAATCTGTTTTTAATGTCAAAAGACACCGGGCCACGTTACTACCGCTTCCGTTTTGTCTCCTGAACTAAATAGCCCCGGCTTTCATATAGCACTTTATCATGTAAAGTAATGGGAAAATTCGACCTCGTAGCTCAGACACCGAAGGGTGCGGAATTTCATTCAGTTTTTGTGGGTTCTCGTGTCCATTCTCCTCTTACATTTTGTTCTAAGGTCGGCAATGGTTTAGTTATAATCTAGAATTTTAATTTTTGAAAGTTCGAATTGACTGGTAGGGTCATCTCTCGGTACTGCATCAATTTCCATAATGATAAAAACAATAATAATAATTATTATTTTATTTATTATTGTATGAACAGAATAATAAATAAAATGAAAATAATAATAATTATTATTAAAATGTATTTATGTGTAAAAACCTTTCAATTTCTTACCATTCAAAGCCGCGTTTCACACGCGTTAGACGTCATTAAAACTTTAAAGAATTAGTGTTGAACCTGTATGACATTCAAATTTTCAAAATACAAATTCAAATTAATGCATTTAAGTTTTGATAAAAGTGTCACTTTATTTCAGAACGCCTTGACGCGCTAGGCCATATAAACAGTTCCAGACCTTTCAATATCCCACTGGTCACTCCGCTGCCCAGGACAACGACCACGAAGCGTCCAACACCTGTGGCTCACGTCATCGGCACGTGCAGTAAAACGTCTCCGGGGACACGAGGTTCTGATTGTAAGTTTCTGTTCCTTCTTCTTCTTCTTCTTCTTCTTCTCTCTCTCTCTCTCTCTCTCTCTCTCTCTCTCTCTCGCCCCAGTCCCTACCGTAGAAATGGAAAGATAACAAAAACTAGGTTTTACCTGAAAAACTGAAGTTACACCGATATTGAGTAAAGACATCTTTCATGAAACTTTATCACTTAAAAGTATCTACTCCAATTGCAGGCGAATTACACTGGGAAGATGACCCAAGCAGCTCACAAAGCCACATTAATAAGGGCGGCGTGACGCTGGAAGATGGCTACCTAAAGGTTCCTCGTCCCGGTTACTACTACGTCTACAGTCAACTCTGTTTCAACGTGCACACAAATCGGCAAGGCCACGCCACGTTCGAACACTTTCTACAGAGAAACTGTGCAATTCCCTTATCGGACAACCGTCATATCTTGTTCCAAAACTGGAAGCACATCAACCTGCAGACCAGTCATGAACACTGCAGTTACCTTGGCGGCGTGGTCGAAATGGTCAGAGGGTGTGGGGTGGTGGTCACTGTTACAGGTGGCCAGTTCTTGACCCCTAATAAGCATATGAATTACTTTGGTCTGTATTTCATCGAGGGTAAAGAACAGATGTAAGGGGGAGACCAGTGTGACGTCAGAGACCAGCGTGACGTCAAAAACCAGTGTGACGTCAAAAACCAGCGTGACGTAAAAAATGCTGTCCCATCTTTACATGACAGCTAAGAGAGAAGGGAGCCTTTTTAATCGAGAGGAGGGCATACGATATCATTGCGCTAGCGCATGTTGTGTATTGCCGTTAAAAAAATCTACATTTTAGTCTCCTGCACATTGCTCATGCATTCTTTTTCTAAGGTAGTCTACCTGTCATATCTTTAGGCTGGTAGCTATCTGAAAATGATTAGTATTAACCAAGTCGCTTTTTTATTTGATATAAGACAGACTGTATATATTTTGGTATAACGTTTTCTTTTTTTAATTTTTCATAACGAACTGGGCAGAGTTTACATCTTGCCTTCAACTTAAAAAACCGGCCAATACTTCATGTCCACTGTATATTTCACAATGTCCTCTGTCCAGTAGTTGTGGTCAGTGTCACCTGTCCAGTATCAGAGGTCAGTTGGACGAGTCACAACACTGTGGTCAGTCATCCATGCCCCATGATTCATAACATAAGTCACATTCATGTTTGAGATGGCATCGCTTTAATTCTACGACAAATGTAGATGCTGCCGAGATTGTATATGTTATATTGGTGCTTAAGACATTTATCATATGTGTTTTAAAAATTACACGCTTCTTTGTGGAGGTGCGTGGGTGGGGTGGGGGTAGGTAGGTCACTGATTCACACAGGGTAATTTAACATGGGTTGTTAAAGTCCCTGTTACACCGGCTTGCCACCGCTTCATGGAAGTTGAATTTTATTTAGTTCATAGTCACAAATACGTTACACGTTACAAAAGAAAATTCGAATTGATTCACTCAGATGTATCGGCTGGATGTATGACTTTGATGTTGGCTATTAAATTTTGCCCATGCCTCAACTTTGAAGGGTGAAACATTGGGGGAAAATCGTAAGCGGTCGGTAGTCCGTAGGCTAAAAAGAGACGCAGGCCGTCCTTTTTGCCTTTGCTTCCAAGTTGTAATTCTATATAAATTATTCTTGTGATAGATGTTAATATTTTGTAAATAAGGTCATGTACAATATGATATAAATGCATGAGTGGACGGTAGAGCACATAGATAAAAGTGAAAAAATAAAATTATGTGACTCATCGTAAGTGTTCATATTTTGAATGAGCAGTTATTATATTTCATATGATATTATATAGAAAACTGGTCAACAATACCAACACGGAATGCAAAGACATAGTTC